CAGTTGAAGCACACCTATTTCTCAAAGCCAGTCATGAACAGGTTAAGCTGACTCGTAGCTCAATAGGTCTCTCTCAGACCTTGAGTGGCACTGCCAAGGTCTGGCCGTACTTCCAGCTCCTGTCCTGGTGTTTACCTAACTTTGCTTCAGGCTCCTGCACAGTCTTATCTCTGGCTCCCTGATTCCTTTATGGCATTTTTCTCTTAACATTTGACATAATCTTCTGGAGATTTTCTGGCCCAGACCCAGAGTGACAATCTTGTTCTTACCATTTCTCTGATCTTATGCTCTACTTGAGAAAAACACATGTTGTAGTTGCAGGTGTACTGAAGCAAAGATGTTCTTTATAGATTCAGCTTATTTCCCTTCTTGCATGGGAATAACGAAATTGGTATCAAGTAACCTTATGCTGTTTAATGGTATCGACACTTGGGGGCTTTAACTATATGGCCTTAGTCCAAGTGGTACAACCTTCTAAGATAGAAAAGGCCATAAATACATAGTGATCAGAAAGATACAGTCGTGTTTTTCTGTGTTCTTTGATCTTTGTGACATAAGCCATTCTGGTAGGTGCAACAATTTTTAGGAAATCCTTTGGTATACAGTTTGACAAAGACAAAAAGAAAAACCTCAAATCAGTGACCCTCATACAAAGTACAGGGATATGCCTTCTAATTGGCAGAATGTCCTAGCCTCATTCTAGAGGTTCTCTTTAATTTCCATATGAATTTAAAGTCCCAGACACCATTCACTGAGCTGGAATGTCTTGCTATAATAAAAAGCATTGCAGTTGTGTCTAGTTGGATTTACCATGCTATTTAGTTTTAGTACACACAAGCTACATATCCTTTAACTGCTCTATAATTGGTCCAATGCTCTTAGAATCTATTGGGTAGAGTTAGACAATTTGTGAATTAAAAAATAAGTCAATTTCTTGGAATTAAATATGCATTACCAATCGTTTGCTCAGGTCTTCTTCCAGATTTCCTACATCAGCAAATCTTTCAATGGGAGTGTTTTGTAGAGCTTCATTGCAATTCAGGATAAGTAAGAATGATTCACATTTATATTAAACTTTCTGCCTAGAAGGTTTGAAAAACACTTTCCAGGATTCACTTAATATGAATTAATAGGAAATCACTTCATTCACTAGAGAAATATAGCCATCTCTATGGTAAAACATGACAGTTGGCCAGAGCACAGAGCAACATTGCATATGGGGTTAGGGAAGGAATGAATAACTTATTTCAAGTGAACTACACAGGGAATTTTAGGTCAGTGGAAGGTAATTACTGAAAAATGAACTTGGCCAGAATATCCAGGCTAACATCTGCACTATTGCAAAATAAATACCACAGATGTTTTAATAATGAATAACATGTGTGATCAGTACCATGGTTTTACCTCTAATCCAAAAGACTGCTCCTTCTTCAGCATGCTGTGTGGAGCATTGGCTTAGTACTAGTTCAGATCACAAAATCATTCTACTAAATCACCAAACTTGTAGGTAGTGGCAACCTGAGGTCATCTTAGTGTTGTCTTGTTCATAAGGACTGGTGTTTTACTTAAGAGAATTCATGGGATAACAGCCCATAGAGGGCAACTCTTCATCATGCGGCAAAAAGTATAACCAAGACAACCCTCCCAACTCAATACATACACCCATTACAGAGGTAACAATTTACATAATTCAGAGCTAATCCACTAATTTACATAATCCAGAGCATCCACTAATCTGATGAATTAATAGAAATAACTTTGTCTCTGTGTTTTATGTCAGGCTGAATCAGAAGAACCTTACATTTCAACATAGGGTCCAAGAACAGCTCCCTGCCCTGTCCCCAAAGAGTGGTTTTTATTAATTTTAGCACTGACATCAGACTACAACACTGGGCATTGTAGGTTATAAGACTCTAAGAGGGTCTCCAGAAAGCTTTGGGACTCAGGAAGGTACCATGTCTGCTGGAGCTCCTTATCAGCAAGGGGAACAAGGTCTTAAAGCATACAATGTGGACTTCCCTCTGTCCAACCAACTTTTCTGGCCATTGTGGAGGAGGACAGCTACATGAATTGGCTTTCTCTTTGTCTTCTCTCCAGTTCACATGGTCATAAAGACTGGAAATGAAGCTGAGTTTCTGGCACAGTCAGATAAATAGGGAGACACCCACATAGCCTTGTACGTGCATCCCCAGGTGTGCCATGGTGTTCTGAGGAGTGTGCTTTTTTCTGGGTTTCCTCTAGACAGCATTCTATGTACACTTCAAGTACACTGCCCTTCTGATGTTCCTTTCTTCATTTTAGAGGACATCCCTGTCAGCATTAGAACGATCAGAACAGCAGATCAGGAAAGCAGCCAGTCTAGAAGAGCTGCTTCGAATCACTCATTCAGAAGACTGGAAGCTGTGGAAATGCAGGCTAAAACTCAAAAGCCTGGCCAATTTTGATTCCCGATCTGCATCGCATCGCTCCACTAGATTTGCTGCTGCTTTCTATGACATCGATACACTAAAAGGTAGGTATATTGTTGTACATGAGTTCCCTGTCACCTGTTTCACTACGAGGATTCCCAGCTGTTGGTGCAAGTAGGGGTTAAATAAGCTGGCATTCTTAGAAGAGACCAACATCAGAGAGAAAATGGTGGATATGGAAAACAGCATAAAAAGGAGGAAAAAGTTAGGCAACAGCCTGAATACATCTCCATTTTATGTGCAGAGCTGGTTTATTGTTTTCTGTACACAATCCAAATGAAAGATGTATTAAGCATGGGCTTGTCAGTCAACAGAACAAGAAAGGAAGTAAACAGGCAGGAATAGCTTGGAATGGCTAGCTGCAAGGACTGCCAATAGCAATATGCTAAATCTTGGAATTTGCTTGTAGGCAGAAACAATGGACTTTACAGCTAGCACTGAAATTCCTTCTTTTATTAGGTGTGTTTTGATGTAAGGCACCTCATCAGCAGCTACATCTGGGTAGGAGCTGATTCATGCTGCATGCTGTTGAGCATGCTGGGAGAATTTCTGGACAGAGAGGAAGTATACAGAAACAACAGATGACACCTAGATGAGAAAGGGAATACAAAACTGTATACAAAATAGAATGAAAAAAAATCCACAGTGGGCACAACTGCATGAGACTTTTACCCCACAATTGACTAATTAGCTGCACATTAAACATCTCAGCGTCTACACATGCACCCCGGTAGGCTGGAGTACACTAATTTACTCCACAGCAGGATAGTACTTGTACATTTACAAGTAGTAATCTGCTTCAGAGTAAAAAACTCCACAGTGGCACCCATGTAGACTCTGGAGGGGCTGGCTGGGGCATGAGGGTGCTTCAGTGCAGGGACTGCCTGCTAGCTAGTCCTGTACTGAAGCACTCTTGTGTCACAGCCAGCCCTCCCCCCCCCGGCCGCACGTTGAACCAGGGGGAGCAGCTCCAGGCTGGCAGACTAACCCCCAGGGCCCCCTGCCAGTCAGGGCTGCTCCGACCCAGCTTAACATGCTGTACATGAATAAACTATGGAGCTTATTGCTCCTGGGTGCATGTTCAAACATTGTGCCCAGGAATGATAAACGACAGAGCAATAAGCTCTGCAGTTTATTCATGCACCATAATTGCATGTGCACACATGCCCAGTGCCTTCTAGAGGAAAGAATCAAGGTCTAAGATGAGTTCACTAAAAGTAAACCAGGGGTTAGTTACCATTCCTTGATGAAGTGAACAGATATTATACAACAGAGCCTTGCTATACAAGCTGTGACATAAGCAGGTGTAAAGATCTGGTCCTCGGGTATGTGTAGACCCTCAGGTGGGTTTTATACTCACCGCTTCAATTTAGGGTGAAGTAAAGCCCCATGCGTGCACACATCATGCTGACTTACCTGCCTTTCCAGTGGGGAGGGGAGGGCGAGCTGCCAGTGGGCAGAGTGGTCACTGGGCTGTGGCGGGGCGGGGGGCTGGGGCTTCCCTCTGCAGCAGCTCACCCCAAGCAGTACCCGCCTGCAGGCATCCGACTCAGGCAGTCCCAGGGGGCACTGCAGCCACAGAAGGAAGCACTGGGCTGCTGCGATGCTCAGGCAGGCTCCCGGGGTGGTGGTGGTGGGGGGGGGGGAGTTAAGGCTCATCGTTATTCTTGGATGGAGCTTGCTTTCCCAGGCTGCTGCCAAGCTGTCTGCAGGGCTTCCTGGAGAGCCCCTTCACACCATGGCTGTAGGGGCAACAAACCAAAATTCCTCGAAGGAGTTTTAGTTTGCTGCGCCCCAAGTCATTTAAGGCGCATTACACCGCCAAATTTCCTACAGCATCTGGAAATAATGCCAATACGCCACCGAGGCGTGCAAACACCCACAGCATTAAAGCGGTACAAAAGCATTTAGCCGACTTTGAAGTGTCATGAACACATGCCCCTTGTTTCATCTACACATGGCTATTGACCCTGAAATGATGGAACTCAAGCCAGAGTATTCGCTCCTCTGTTGGGAAACTAAGAATGAATGATACTATTGTGAGAGGGCTTTAGAACACCCTTTCGTACATTTGCTTACTCTTTCACATCATTTGATTAAATAGTTATGTGGATGTTTTTGGCTAAAGTTGAATTTTAATCTCTGAGAAGGACCACAAAGGCACAGACATGAAGGCCAATGTGAAATGCATCTGTATACAACTTTAAGGAATTCAAGAAATTGCATAATTTATTATAAAGACAATAATATTCTGGTGCCTGACGCAAGAGAGACTGGTAGGGAGAGTTAGAAGAGATGGATTTTTTTCAGAATATTTGCAAGAATTCTGTATAGAGGCATTAACAGTCTAGGGAACTATTTGCATCCAATACAAATTGCAAGGTTTTCCTGTAGAAATCCTGAAAGCCAACTTTTAGTTTTCTCATGTAGTGAAATATCAGCATTGCAGAAAAATGGTGACCATTCATTGTCTATATAACAATACAACAAATGACTGCATCATGTGGACTAAGGCAATATTCTATATGCTTTTATTAACACCAAAAAGAATACAATTGTTCATGTAACTAGAGCACGGGAACAAAAGAGAGAAAAGTGTAAGTGGATGAATCTGTACTGGGAAAAATTCTTTAGTTTGGCCATCCATAGCTGGGGTGTTAAATGTGTGGATCCGGAGGGGCATGGCAGTGCAGTCACATCCCACTTTAGTTGTGCCACATGTGAGCTCTTGATCTGGGCTTCAGAGCCTGGGGAATGATCACTGTAGCTGCTGCTCATCCTTTCCTTTCCTCTGCTGCTGAATTCAGAAGGAAGGGGACAGAGAGGAAGGGGAAACAGCAGCAGCATTCATTCCCAGGCTCCAGAGCAATGTGGAAGTAGTGGATCCAACCAGAAAATGCTCCAATCAGTTGGTGAGCTCGTTGCTCATTGCACACACAAACCTCTGGCAGGAGCCTCCACTGACCGGACAGTGAATTCAGAGCACACTGCACAGCCAAAGTAGAGGGCTGCATCCACCATTTCCCTGTTCCTGGATCCACTACTCATGTCAAACACACATTTGGAGGGCCAAATCTGACCTGCAGGGCCATATCATCCAGATCACAAGGCCAGGAATTTGGGAGTGGTGTGAGTAGGGGGTGGGGTCCACCACCAAATGTGAAGGTATGGAGCCCCACTGGGGACTCCTTTTGGAAGCAATAGGACAAGCAACATCTGCATTAGCTGCCACTGCATACCTTGCTGCCGGATCCAGCCCATGAGGAGCCCTACAGTTTAGATCTAGCCCCGGGGGGGAGGAGGGGGGTATCAAATGAGTTTGACACCTGTGAACTCTAAGAACTCTTAGCTAAGCACCTGTTGGGTAATGCCTGAAAAAATGTATTTCTTTGCTATTTCTCTTCCAGTCAGTGGAGGATGCCCTTTGAGTATGATGTGAGTTTTTATTTAGTGTGGTGTTATCATGAGAAAGTGAGGTCAAAGTGTAAGCTGCTCCTTACTCTGTTGCTCGATTACTCTTTCCAGGTATCACCAACCAAACTCAAAGTCCTCATCTTTGTATGAGCTTCCCTTTGCATAATCAAGACCTCCCACAAACAACCATATTCCTCTAGAATAATGCAACTCCCAAGTGTGTGAGGGGGGGTGGGTTGGAGATGGGTTTCTTGGCAGCTGAACTGCATATATAACTCACTTATGACTAAGATCAGAGTGACCATGAACCTTGGTGGTTTAAGAACAAATTGTAAAAACCCATTCAATTCCTTCTTCTAGCCTCCCTACAATAGCTCTAGCAAATGACTAAGAGGGGGAGAATACATGCACTTGAAAAAGGTATTTCTGTTAACATCCAGGCAACTGACATCTTAAATGATTATGAAAGGGCCATGCAATGCCAAATACACAACCCTTCTGGATCCACTACACATGTATGTAAACCAACACCACTTAGTGTGGGATACCTGACATCACATTTTCCTCAGTGAATAATAATAATAAATACAAAAATCCAAATTCATCTTTTTATCATAATAACAAATACAATAACAAATGAGCAACAAACATCACATGAAAACCTTGGAAAGAAAAATGTTAAAAATCACAATATACATGTGCATACATTATATTTCCCATTGACAGCAAATAGGCTGCTAACCAACTTCACTATCCCTGATACTCCTCATATTCTCAGTCTGGTGACCAGCAGATTGAATCCACCATCTCTGGGGCCTCTAAATTGATCCGAGGTGCTGGTTGTAGCTGTGTTGGTCTAATGCTATTCAGCTGGTCTAATAAAAGACATCACATTTACCCAAATAACCTTGTCTGAACTGATCTAATACACTTGTGTTATTTCCCCTTCCCAGCAAGCTCTCAGAGCAGGATGCATGCCTCTCTGACTGAGAGAAAAGTCATCCAAATTTTCCCTCAACCTCTTTCATTTCCTGGGATACTGAACAGATTTTTTTTTACCTCTGTGCCAGCAGGAGCTAGAACTCACCCAACCCCAATTAGTCTGTGTTTTCAGTAGGATAGTGTGCTATAGTCTACCAGGTCCTGTCCCTGTTCACAGACAGTTCTCTCAGGACAGTCCCTTCTGGGCCCACACGCCCCAAGCTGGTGGCCAGGATAGATTTTTTTTTTCGCTCTTCTTGAGCCCAGTGGTACTCCCAACATGACCACTAGCCATCATCACACCCCACTGAGGAAGCTCAAGGTTTCACTCACCTTTCCAAGATGGATGCATTTTGTAAAGTTCCCTTCTACAGTACAAGAAGGGGCAGGTCTATGATGAAGACCAGAATATAGTCCACCAAACCCTGACAGAACAGTGGCAAATTACAGCTGAACGGCCTAAATGAAAATGATAGGCCTGTGCTAGTCGGCAGTGATCTGATCCGGCTTCAGATCTGGCCACTTTGGATGGCTGTGATCCGATCTGCAGCTCTGAGCCGGGTTTCTGCCTCGATCCGGCCAAAGCTTCAGAGCTGCCTCGGAGATCTGGCCACGGGGCATAATGGGGAATCAATCGCATATCTGTAACTTTGTTGTTTTGTGTCTGACTTGGATGAAAGTTGCTTGTCCACATCTGGAGGGGCAGTTCCCCCCAAACCCCTGCACCGATCTTCTTGAAACTTGGCAGGCTTTGTGGCCTCAGTAAGAGCTACCAGCCCTGCAGTTGTGACCCCCTGTGTTGTAACACATAGACGTGACAGGAGTTTTGCTTTCAAGAATTTGGGGTACAGTTGCCCCCAAACCCCTGCACTGATCTTCTTGAAATTTGGCAGGCTTTGTGGCCTCCGCATACACTACCACCCCTGCAATTTTCACCCTGCTATGTTGTAACACCTAGACATGATGTGAGTTTTGCTTTCAAGAATTTGGGGTGCTGTTCCCTGTACTGATCTTCTTGAAACTTGGTAGGCTTCATCCTCTCCACGGAGTCTACCACCCCTGAAAATTTTATTGAAATCGGACAAAAAACAACAAAATTATAGGTATTCTATTTTTCCCCATTATACCCTATGGCCAGATCTCTGAGGCAGCTCCTAATTGCTTCAGGAAGCCGAACTAGGCAGCGCTTCGACCTGGATGTGCTGCTTCGCACCCCGAAGCGTCTGAAGCTTCTCCAGATCCGAAGGTCTGTCTGAAGCCTCACACAGCCCTAGAAAATAGCCCCTGCGGCCAAGACTTGCAAATGTGACAAGTGACTTGTGGGCCCTCAATCTGAAGCACTTTGAAAAGGCCTGATTGTCAACAAGCACTGAGTACATTTCGTCTAGATACCTTTTGAGTACCTGAAGGTAGGATAGAGGTATCTAGAGTATTCATAGATCCATAGATTGTTATGGGCTAGAAGGGACCTCACAGATCATCGGGTCCAGCCCCCTCCCCCCTACCAGGCAGGAAGACAACTGGGGTCAAGTGATCCCAGCAAAGTGACTGTCCAGTCTCCTCTTGAAAACCTTCAGGGTAGGTGACTGCACCACTTCTGGAGGGAGTTTATTCCACAGTCTGGACACCCTGACTGTGAAGGAGTTTTTCCTGGTATTAAGCCTGAAGCAACCTTCCAGGATTGGTCCTTTTTAGTGTTGTAGCCTTCTGGTAAAATCATAGTTCTACTAAAAACAATGGAAGTTTCACCCTAAAAGTGCAATACATTTAAGAGCAACTTATTTTTTGTATCTTTTTAATTATTATCAGGCGGGGAAAGAATGAGGATAAATTAAGGGGAAAACAAAACTTTCAAGGACTAAATGAAGAACCTCACTGACCCTTTTTTAGGAAATGGTTTATATAATAGGAAGGTGTAATAAAAGGTCTAAAAGAGAAATGTGAATGCACATCTGAAGACAAACTTTAACATTTAGGGTTAAGAACAGGATTTTGGCATTCTTTTTCTTTAGAAGTTTCTGTAGGACTGAGCTCTGTTTCATATTAGAGATTTTCTTAACACGACAGAAATTGCCCTGGACCACCAGTAAACTGTTAGAGGTAAGCTGCTAGTAGAAAAAGGCTTTTCATAGCTCTACAAGAACACAAAGGCCCGATAACTCTAGAGGTTCTCTACATGATTGTATTAGGTTGTTAAATACCAGTGAAAATAGAGGAAGGAAAGAGGACCACATTTAATGAGACAAGAAATCATTTTGATATGTAATTATGACAAATTCCACCAAGCTGTTCCTTTCTCACTCTCTGGTTAACTGAATAGTTAAAGCATTGTTCTCTCTCACAGTCAAAATATGAGAGGTCATCCTAAAATAAAACTGCCAGTCTGCAAAAATTCAATATCTGAGAGCTGTCATGATGTTTTGAATAGATAAATCATACTTAAATTTACATTTTTGTTATTCAGCCTTTAAACTCCTGAGAACACTTAAGTGAGAGTGTGTTTGCCTTGGATTTCAGTAGATGGTTTGGAATCATTGCTCCCTGCCTGGACCCCAGTGGACCTATTAAAAACATCTGACTAGAATCTCATTACTCTGTTTCTCCACCTGAACAGACTCAATTTTATTCTTCTTACATTTACACTAGAGTAATTTGAACCAACTGTGTACTGATAATAAGACTTCAGATTTACAGTGTTGCAAACAAGGGTAAAAATTGACTCTACTTGTACAGAAACAGATTATAGAGCAGATCCTCAGCCAATGTAAATCAACACTTTTCCATTGAAAGCAGAGGATCTGCAGTGCTTAAAACCAAGTGAATTTCCAGTTCCATATGTTTCATAGTTAAGGAAGAGAATAAACCTCAAAAAGCAAACCCTAGCAAAATAACCTCTTAATCCATTTAATGGGCATGATACTTCTGTCCTCAGCAATTCTTTGGTTCTTGCTCAAAAATTATCAACCAACATTATCAGCCAACACTGTAAATGGCCAACAAAATTCCAAGTCTACTTTATTTATCCAACACATTGTTAAATCAAGCATCGAATTTTTTCTTGTTTCTGTTCATGATGATGGTTCTTTCTGTAGTCATAGATGAGGAGTGGCAAAAAACTCAGTGTGTGCCAAGGGAAACCTGTGTGGAAGTTGCCAAGGAGCTGGGTACAACCACCAACAAATTCTTTAAGCCTCCCTGTGTGAATGTGTTCCGATGTGGAGGCTGCTGCAATGAGGAGAGTCTGAGCTGCATGAATACAAGCACAACTTACGTTTCAAAAACGGTAATGAGACTATTCATCTTTTTTCTATCTTCTTTCTCAGAGACAAGGAGGGATAAAAGGATGTTGGGTCTCTCCAAGACTGCTATGGAACTACTTGTGCCTGAGACTCATTCTCTGCATTTTCATAAACATAAAAAAATTCTTAATTTTTATTTACTTAGAGTGAATGCAACCTTGGGAAAGATTATTTAGCTTGTTTTCTATACAAGTATGAATGACTAGACAAGTATAAAACTGGAGAATCAGAACCAGTGTGCACGTCTACACGAGACACTAAATGCGCAGTAGACTAATTCTACTGAGCATTAGTGTGTCATGACAGAAGTCATGATAATGTGCTAATGCACAGTAGAGTTAGTCTACAGTGCATTAGCATCACTAAAAAATCATGCATCGGCACTACTGTACCATAGCACTGGTTACTGTGCATTGGGTTAATACTCGTTATTACAGTTACTAAACTTAATGTGCCAGAACTACAGCCCATGAATGCACATGTAGATGCACCCAGTGAATGATGATGTTAATAAGCTTAATTATTGTATTCTTAATATTTATTGTTACCTGGACCCAGAATTTCCTGATGGCTTTTGGAAACTCCCCATACTACAGAGCAAATAGATTCTTTTGGAATTTCTGATGTGTGGTGCCTAAGAATTAAGACTTAATTTTTCTCTGCTGTGACAAAAACATTGATTGGTAATTTTGGGTGTCTAGCTTCAGAAGTCTTAAAGGTTCTTGAATTTTAAAAGTGCAGAGTATCTGCTCTCACAGAATCGCATATCTTAAATTAAATGCTCCAATTTTGAGTTGTTCCAAGTCACAAGTCACTTTTGAAAGTGTAGACTTAAATAATTAGTCAGGTGCAGCAAGTAGTAGCAGGCAGCAAATAACTTGAATTAAGTAGTCACATCTACAAGCGATGCTACATCACCATAGCAATGAGCTAGGGCAACACAGCATCTATGGGCAAAAATCATGACACTGCCACTACATCGCTGTAGCAATGCACTCCCTCAGTATAGCATGTTGCTATAGCAATATAGCATCTAAAAATAACCATATGGCACCACACTGTGTAGTACGAGCTGTTATTGCACCATAATTTAGTACTCCCAAAAGGAAGTACTAAATGAAGGCACAGTAATGTTGCCATAGGGGCACATGTAGACATGCCCAATGTAATTGAGTTTTTTCCATCGTGTGACTTTATAGTTACACCTTTAGTTCTTCTATAGCAACATATTAGTCCTAGTAATAAAAAGTTTTTGTACTTTCACTAAATTCATAGATAATTAGCTAAAGCATTCTAATGGCAATGGGTCTGATTCCTAGCTGTCATTCTAGTCCTGTATCAGTGTGCTTTCACTGGTTTCCATGGAGTTATACTAGAATACAATGAAGTGTTGAAAGAGTGAATCAAGCCTAATACTTCGTATGCAGATGTTCATTAAATGATTCCATTCCATGTCAGGAGGAGAGAGCTCTCATTAGCTGTTGGCAATATACCATGGATGTCTTAGCAACTCAGAGGTCTGGGTCAGGCTAAAAATATTTTATGCATTTATCTTTGAAACTGTCGCTCATAAGATTTAAAAAATAAATAAAATACATTTAGTTCTTCAGAGTTCAACATTCCTTTAATTTTATTCAAAATAACTGTTCTCAAAAGCCTTTGAGCCAAATACTGCTCTTAGTTTCAACAATAAAAAATTGGTCACTTAGAAAAAAACAAACTAATAAACAGCGGACATACTCCAGAGTTTTGCCCATATTACTGAAAAAAAGATTTTTTTCCTTAAAGATATTTATTTCCTTTCGGAAAAGCTATAGATTTCTCAGTGTAATAACCAATGGAAATAGAGGCAGAGAAGATCAATGAGTAGCTATATAAATGACTAAGATTAAATACATTATGCATCTAATAACAAAGTCCAGTTTTCTGCATGTTTTACAGCTTTGCTGTAAAAATAATGATGAGACCATTTGATGCATTTGCAAAGCACTTTACCAATTCATGGCATGCTCATTAAATAATATTTATAGTACTTCACTTCCTTAGTCCTGAGGCTGCCATACTGAGCAGTTTGTACTTAAGAGACATTGTTTACTTTTCCCCTTTGATTAACTTAGATCATACCCATGGTGGCTGCCAGAGGAGAAGAGGGAAGGTGAGGGGAAATAAAAGCAGAGGGTAGGAAGTTAGTATATAAATTATTTTAAGTAAAACTATAAAGTAGAAATTGAAAAGCATGTTTCATCCTTTCAGCTTTTTGAGATTTCAGTTCCTTTGACAAATGTGCCAGAGCCAGTGCCAGTCAAAATTGCCAACCATACTGGTTGTAAGTGCTCATCAAATATTCAGCGTCCCCCTTATACCATCATACGAAGATCAGTCCAGTATCCAGAGGAGGACAGGTAGGAACCTCTCTTTACAAAATATTATACACAGATTATACAGCACTAACAGCTTTTTTATTATACAGCTTTTTCCTTGTTACTTAGTCACTGTCATTTTTCTTTCATTTCTTATTTTCCTGCCTGTTTCCACATATCCCGGGTACCCTTCAAATTTACAGGGCCAAAACCAAACCTGAGTTAAACAGATTTCAGTAACTTAATGCACACCTGATGTCTGGCATGCAGATTAAGGTCCAATTCACTAAAGACCAGATCCAAAAAAAGACTTAGGCACCTAAAGCACAAGAATGACATCTGCAAAAACCTGTCTTAATCCTTAGGGCATGTATAGATGAAACAGGGGCCCTAAATTAAAGCAGTGGGTTTTAAAAAACACTGCTTGAATTTAGGACTGATTAAACCCCTATGTCATGCACACACCCCACTGACCCACCTGCCTCTCCAGTGGGGAGACAAGGGCAAGCTGCCAGTGGGAGGAGCAGTTGTGGGGGAGTGAGGCGGGGGGGTGAGGCTAGTGGTTGCCTCTGCAGCAGTGGCAGCCCCTGCCCCAGGTAGCACCCACCCTCAGGCATCTGACTTGGGAAGCACTGGGGGAAGTGCAGAGGGAAGCACTAGGCAACTGCACATGCTCAGGCATGCTGGCACACTTCAGGGGAAAAAAAGGAAAAAAAGATCAGGCTCACCACTTTTCTTGGGCACAGCCTGCTTTCCTGGGCTGCTGTCAAGCTGCCTGCATGGTTTGCTGCAGAGCTGTAGAGCTGTACAGAGCCCAGTGCTTCACTCCATGGCTGTAGGGGCAATCAACAAACTAAATCTCCTTGAAGGAGTTTTAATTTGCTGCACCCCGCATCATTTAAGATGCATTACGATGCCAAATTTCCTACAGCGGCTTGAATTAATTTGCAATATGCTGCCGAGGTGTGCAAACACTGATACCATTAAAGCAGTGCAAAAGCATTTAGCCTGCTTTAAAGTGTCATGCACACATGCCTCTCGTTTCGTCTACACACTACCCTCGGCACTACTATGTCATGGGACTGTGCATGACCTTGTGACTGATCTGAGCATCTTGGCACTATTGGCACTATTTTACACCATTTAGTATTTACAAAATAGGTGTCACTGTACCTAAGGTTTCTGAGAGGCCTTATCAGCATTGCTAACTGTCTATAAAGTTATGGAAGTCTATAAAAGCAAGGCTAAAAATGCGTGTCCGTAAAGTCCATAAAAAATGGAGCTGTACATACAAAAACTAAGCAATCAGAAGCTTGATGGATGGACAGAGAATACCAGGAGCACAACACCCTTCAGGGCGAATTCTTTCATGGTTTTGTAGTCCCCTAGCCCCCACCCATGTGCTGCTGCTACTGCGCATCCTGTTGCCTGCCTGTAATACTTCTGGGTCCCAGGTAGGCAAACAGTAGTCCTTTTTTAGGTGTCTATGCCTGAGTGGGGGGCAAGACTAGTAAGGGTAAGACTAAGGGATGGGATGGGTGGAGCAGCATGGTGCAAGGTGCAGTTAGGGGTATCAGGATGTGGGGTGAGTAGGGTACACCTAAGGTGAGCAAAACAGTGGCTGCAGACAAGCAGGACTGCCAACTTAAGAAAAAAGATACTGATAATTTGCAAAATTTTTATTGACAACCAAACTTTTTTACTATTATTTGTGTTAAACCCCTAAATCTGAACTAGAGCCTGGCAGAATGAGGGCCTGGCAGAAAGGTTATATTTATATTATGTAAAACATGTCAATAAAGAAGTGTAAATGTCAGTAAAAATTTTGTAGATTGTCAGCAACAAAATTGTCTTGGGTTGACAACCCTGGGCCTTGTCTTGTGAGTATGCTCATAGAACATCTAACAAATACTGAAAGGATAGACTTCAGCACAAAGCATATCATTCCACAGCCTCTTTCATTCACAAACATAGCTGATGGTGGTACCAGCACTGCCTACTTTTCATAGTCCAGAAGTTAAAGTATTGACCCAATAATTAGGAAACTTGACCCTGAAGGGATTCAATTCTTCAGTTTCCACCAGCCAGAAAAGTGCCCTAATCACCAGGCCATAAATGAGACTGAAACCAGAAAGAGGACTTTTTCCATCCATCTTGTTGAAGCTGTGCCACTCTGCAGCTATGACTACAAGATAAGCAGGGCCAGAAAGCAAACAAGAGGGAGCATGTATCAGTGATCCAGGAAGAAAGATGCCCAGCTTGGAGGAATGTTGTGAATTCTGGTCCTTGCTCCCAGGACTGCTTACAGTGTTTCTAGAGTCACTGGAAAAAAGCCACAGACAATGTAGGAAGCAGAGAGAGGAATCCAGGACTCCCTTTAGGGGACTGACCCCATCTCTGAGTTACAGTTAAGCTTCGTCTTCCTTTCTTTCTCTCAAATCTTGCTTTGCTGGCTGGATGGTGGCTCAGTTTCAACATTAGGGATTAGGAGTGCCTCACCAGCCTAGCCCTGCTTCTAGCTTGGTGGGTAAGGTAGCCTCCTTGAAGATGAAAACTGTGGGTTTGAGCCACTTCAGCCTGAGGAGGGCCACACATGGTTTTCCCACTTCCTGGGCTAGTGCTATAACTAACAGAATAGTATGGAAAAGGTAAGGGAGCAGGTAACGGGAGGGGAGCACTCTTTCTTTAGCCCTGTTTTTAAAAGTGAGCATGTCATTTATGCTCAAAAAGAAAACTTAGACACTCAAGTCCAGGAGTAGTTTTTGGACTGTGAATCTCATAAATGTACTTCGCTTAAGGCTACATGGAGGTGCCCAAGTCTAGGAGAGAGGCAACATTTTAGCCACACCCCTCTTTGTTCAGTATTTCTATTGGTTGGTTGACACATTGCCTTGTTCAGTGCTGCTACAAATGCTGTCTCTAGAGGACAGGCTCTCCCTGTTGACTGGGTAGAAAACTTAGATGCCTACCTCCCAGTTGTGTGAATTATCACCCAGAGGACGAGTACCTAAAGCAAGGCACCCCATATCTAAATCTCTTCATGGAACTGTCTCCAAGTCCCTAACTGTAAGTACAGGAATAATCCCATTCAAGATAATTTAACTGTTCATATTCTTAAATGCATTTTTGAACTGGAGCCTGAATACGGGTGGTCTCAGGGTTTCTGTCTGAAGTAATAATACACATCATTGCCATTTATTCATGTATTACACTTGGATAATCTAGCTGTAAATAACCGGCTTGAGCAAACTAGCAGACTCATCTCTTCAGATAAAAACAGTAATTCTCTTGAAACTTTTTTCATAGAAATGATTATATTGCTTTTCCTTCTAGATGCCCTTTTTCCAACAAACTTTGCCATAGTGGGTGGATATGGGACAGTGACAAATGTGAATGTGTGGTGGACACACAGCATCCCAACCGAAGAGAAGGTAAATGTAATTATATTAACTGATGCTTTCTTAGCCTGACAAAGTGTATTTGTACCCAAAAGCTCGCAAAGAAGATTTTTTCCAACTATTTGAGTTGGTTTAATAAAAGATATCAGATTTACCTAAAGAACCTTGTCTGTCGTCATATTAACTGACACTTGTACCATCTGCAACACTGAGAAGGTGCATTGAGATTCTTTTTCACATTAGTTAGGAATTCACTTGGATTCTAAATTACAAGATTACATTGCCTTATTACTTAATAATAAATCAGTTGAAAACATGGTGAAAACAACCACAAATCTAATATTACCTCATCTCATTTTCTTCTGGTCTTTTATTTTTATTAGCAACTGCAATAATGAAGAGCAGTATATTAGAGGGAATTACATTTCTGCTTTCATAGGTAATTTAGTAACTCATTTAGGGGCCTTTACAATCAGTAATCCTCATCTATTGATCAATACAAAAATGCTTGTAAGGTTTTTTTTTTAAATTATAAACAAATTGCCAAAAATTTTGGCATGTAAACTCGATGCCAAATTCTGCTCTCATACAGTTTATGTATGAAACCCCTCAATGAAATCCAGTGGGTCATATAATCTGCAGATTGTCAGAAAATTCTGTTTCCCAGTTGACCTGCCTGTTTGGGACTTCAGAGCTTAATCCTGCCTTCGTCCTTACTCACATGGGAGTAGCTTTCATAGATCAGACAGGCAGCAAGCCAAAACCAAGAGGCCTCATGCTTCTGAGACACCTCTTTGAAGCAAAATGCTTCCTGTGCTTACATCATATGCTGGGCTCAGGCTTTACAAGGTTTGTCATCTTCTCCACTTGTGCTCCGCTAGATCTGTGGCTGGTATGTTAGCCATTTCATGTTACCCATGACAAGTACCCAATTCTCACCTCATTCACTCAGTGGGTAGATGTAGAGATTGTGGGGGGGGGCTTGTTAGATGTTTCACTTTTTGCTGCTTAAATGTTGATCGATGTTAGTGCTAGCTCAAGTTTAGAGCAGTCGCACCTTAAAACTAAAAAACTTCTCTGACTGTCTCCCACCTGCACAGCTGTGACTTGCCAATAGAAAGCTGGCAAGCATGGGCTTGACTAGGAGCTACAGCTGTGAGTTGCCATTACAGGGCTGGTGAGCCAGAACAGCATTTGATCCCTGCTCTAGGTGGGGGTGTCTGAGAGAGGGGTGGGGGTGGGAAGGAACATGAAGCTGGGGGACAGAGATAGTGGGATGGGTGTGGGTAGTGAAGTGGGAGGTGGTATGGAAATGGGGGTGGGAGAAGGTGGTGAAATAAACCACTAAAGGACAAAAAAAAAGGTTTTAAAAAGACATAAAGAAGTAAATTAAAGAAGACCTCATGTTTTAATAAATTGGGATTGGGATTAGGTTGTGGGGAGTGCTAGTCATGCTTCTTGGGGTGGCTGGAAAGTGGGAGCAGTAAAGGAAGGTGTGTTTGGGAGAGCTACTGTCCCTACCCTGGGAAGGAAGCCCCAGCTCATGGGGACCTGATCTGGCTTCCTCTTTTGTTCCCACCCTACCCCCCCAGACTGCACTTCTGGACCCATCTGTGTCCTGCAGTCTGCCTAGCTAGCATGTGCTATGCAGGCTGTTTGCACAGGGTTGCACTCCTGGGGACAGGACAGTCACACCCCTGAGGGCCAGAAGAGGAATTAGCTTGGTGCCAGAGCCACCCCCTGGGCAGTAGAGTTCAGGAGATAAAAAGTCTCCACACAGAACAAGAGGGTGGGGGAGGGAACACTGTAACCTGGAATGCTGGAGGACTGCAACTTGGGCAGCTCATCTCTAGGGAATGGCCACACATTCATGGAATACAAGCTGGGTAACACAGATCAGCAATAAACCTGCCCTGGAGTGGTGAAAGTAAACTGCTTAAAGTGTGCTTAAAACTAGTTTCAGGTATTAATATGCAGACAATCCAGAGATTAAAAACTCTAAGCACCACCTAAAATTAATGTGTAGCAAGGCCCTTTGGCATGCAAATAAGACCTGAGCCAACCCACTAATGCCAATAGAACTAAGTATGAGAGTAAGGGTTTGCATTATCAAGGTCTTGGATAAAAACTGAATAAAGTTGATGGAGCGTAAGGCTAGGAGTGGTTTCTAAGAAAGCTTTTAACTTGGTATAAAACCATAACCCAAAGATTTTTTATGAACTACTTTTATCCTTCCTCTACTCTTGGTGAAAAGACTAGAACCTGTCAAAGAAATCTGTTGAAAAATGTCCATGAGGATAATAAACCAACTCCTATAAGTCTGGAGAATCTTTCATATTGAGAAGTGTTAAACTCTCCCTAAGCACTGTGTAATATTTACATTTATATAGGGAATAATTTGGACTAGTCAAAATGAGGTTCTCATAAAAACTGTACTAGATGGAAACAGAAAGAAATCTTCTGTCCGTACTGTATATAAATTTGCATTCAAGAAATCAATGAATATACCAGCCAAATCAATAATAAAAGCAAGTTGACAAGTATTTGCATTCCTTGGCCAGAGACCAAAAATATAGCTGAATAACTTCATAAACTCTTTTGCCTGGTACAATCTTTTAGAATTAATAGACAAAAAACCAGCATTAGTGATCCTTCAGGGACATTATGTCAACTTGCATCAGATTATTCATCCATCAAGTTTCGTATGTTAGCTGTAGTGGCAAAGTCAGTATTTTAGAGGAAGACCAAAGGAACGCAAATTTATATTACATCTAACACATAGACATTTGTTCTGTGACCTTGCAATAAAATTAATGTACAGACTTACTGAAGTATGTGTTTTGTTGATGTAGAACAAATATTTCTGATGATAAACAATCATTTTTTAAAAATATGTGCAGTTTGGATGTGGGTTAGAAAATTAAATAAAACTTTGAGGCTAAAGCAAAGGGGAACTAAACACTAGCTAACAATTCAGATATGCTAAGGCTCATAATAGCAAGAGAGTGGGCATGGAGAATAGTTCTGTCATGATCCAGGCAGAATCTGTGCATCTTTAAATAATATTTGGTTCTTATTTTCATTTGGGTATTAATTTCCTGGTGCTAAATTAACAGTAATGAAGGCTTCTTTCAAGTAATGATGCTTGGGTCTCCCATATATCCTTTCTGCCATCGGAGATCAGAGCTCAGATTTCAAAGGCCATAGACGTAGGTTACATTCCACATGCCATAGGTGATTAAATCCAAGAGTTAATTGTAAAACTGCAGGAAATTACCTTTCCAGTGACACATTATATGCTGTGACCTTTAACCAGGGATGTGCTGCTGACATCTTAAAGGGCTCTCACAAAAGTGTTCCTGTTTTGCTGTGATAGACCATATGTTGTATGTTAGGATGAACATGTTTGGAGAGTGATCAGGTACTGCGGAGTACAGTCATTTGGTTTGTTCTTTTACCATTAGAACAAAATGTTTTCTGATTACTATAATCAACAAGGAAAATGTACTGCTTAGTAAATGGATTTAGATTAGCCTATACTTTTTATCTGTGATAACAAATACCCCGATTAGATAGATAGCATAGAACATTGAGTGTGTGTGTGCATGCACATGCATATGTAAACTCTGTAAGACATCCAGGTTTAACTTCCTTCACACTTTTTGCTTTAAACACTTGCTGTTCTGATGTAATCTGGTAGAGCCCCAAAACAAACTTCTAGCAATTCAAAGTCAGGTATATCTAGGGAGATCATCACATGTAGAAATGATTTAGCAGTATCTACTGTGGGTAACTTGATGAGATTGAAAGGAATGATCACAACCATGTTTTCATTTTGGTGGTGGTGGATTTTCACAGAAGGCTTCTGCATTTCACAGGAGTCCCTTCCAGCTTATTAACACATAATAGAAATTCCATAGACTAGATGCTACCTTCATGTACACATGAATAAATACTAGTGATTTCAGCTGAGGTACTATGTGTATATAGAAGATCAGAATTTATCAAAAGTAGCTTACTGCTCAAAAATTAATCTTTTGTTATAGGACTCCCTCCTCTTGCTGAGCTGGCTATGTGTGGACAACATATGGAATTTGATGAAGATAACTGTGAGTGCATCTGCAAACGGAAATGTCCTATCGATTTCTTTCAAAGTAAAGAGAACTGCAGCTGCTATTTGTGTCAGGAGAGCCAGGAGAGCTGTGCTCAGAAACACAAAATATTTCATGCTGAAACCTGCAGGTAACTGTTCCTTCCTATTCAATTGCACAATACTTACCATGACTGAGTATCATGAACAACACGTTCCATTCAGTTAAGCAATGTAAATGATCTTTGAAATTGTCATCCAGGTGCATTTACCAGTTTTTTTCCCTGGGATACAGTCCACTGTTGTTTAGGATATGTCTACACTGCTTCCCTGGCAGTCACAGGGATGTTTCTCCTGAGCATACCCCACCTACTCATTCCCACTCTGCATGCAATAAAACTCAGAGATATGACATACTAAGGGCAATTCCCACTGCTGCTCTCAGTATTCTAGAGGCAGAAATCTTGAACAGGAGCATCCTCAGTGAAAATCTACTGCCTCGTTTCTGGTTTGATATGTGCAGAGTAGGAGTAGGTGTCCGTGGCCTGCTTGAGAGCAATGCTCTGGGAATGCTGGAGAAGTAGTACAGATATATCTTTCACGATTAAAGCAAAGGGCAGGGAGTCAGAACCTGTAGGTTCTACTCTACCATGGATGGACTGCAAGACCCTGGATGGGTTACCTGACTCATAATGCTTTCAATATTTACCTCAGAGAATGGTGGGAGGTTTGTTTAATTTATGTGCTTTGAGATCTTTGGAGAAAAGGTGCTAGCTATTTAAACACAAATCCTTTTTATTTTTGCCATAGTAAATGAATACATTTTTATCTACATTTTAGCTAGAGAGACTATAAGGCACAAGGGATATAAAGTGGGATATGGAGCTTTCCATTTTTAGGTATTTATATTCAGTCCATGTCACTTGTATCGATGGTTGTTACAATCTGAGTGCTGTTACTTGGCCTTTGGGAAACCAGCTATGTCTAATTCATAGTGAACAGGTGTTCATGTGTTGAAAATATCATCATGCATATATATATATATATATATATATATATATATATG